CCCGCTGAGGGAAAGCTGGCGCGACTGCTGGTTGGTCCGAACGCGCGCGCGGTTGGCGGCGATTGGTCCGAACGCCCGCGCCGTTGGCGGCGATTGGTCCGAAAGCGCGCATGCCAACAGCGCTCGCCCCGCCCTCCTACCGGAAGAGGAAGAGGCGGAGGCCCTGCCCCCGCGTCTCCAGCTTCCCCCCCTCCGCGGGATGGGGTCCGGCCGTGGGGTAGGAGGCTGAGCTGGGGAGGGCGTGCCCCGGCGGATGGCCTTACCTTGGCCGAGGCGGTGCTGTGGTGAAAGAGACGGGTTTCAGGCCTTACCGCCCCCCCATCGCGGGGGGCCGCATCGCGGGGCGCTTCAGGCGGGGAGGGGTCTCAGGTAGTTTACAGTGCGATCGGCTGCTGAGGGCTTTATCCCTTCAGGAACTGAAAAAACCCACAGGCGGGGACCGTGCCACCTCTGTGCTGCTGCTTGGCTGTCCTCACGGTGGGAAAATCCTCTTTGGAAAAGCAGTATTCACGTGCAGCCAGCAGCACGGCGTGCTGCTCTCTCCTTGTGAGGTGCAATAGCCAGGAGGCTTTAAAAAGTCTTTTTTTTTAAAGTCTCTTAAGTGTTCGCTTATTTCCAGTGTGCCTTCAGTCAGGTTACAAACTCACTGTTTCAGCCTTCTCCACATAAACGCTTTTCCCCGCATGTCTGATGCTTTGAGGTTCAGTTTTGTTGGTAAACTTCTTTTATGCAACACGAAATGTAATCCTAGAATCAACCTGTTGGAGTTGTTTTTTTAATAAACATTAATTGGACCATAACTTTGTAGAATTTGTGTATGTGAAAGTGTAACTATTATTCATCTTTGCCTATTTCCCTGTAGTTTGTCAAGGCTCAGAGTCTTTCTTTTACTTCATGGGTAAGCTCCTGAAATTGATGGCTCTTTGTAGAGCAATAACCCTTTTCTTGATATTTCTAGCTGAAGGACTATCTATGATAATTAAAATTAAATTAATGCAGTGGTTTTCCTCGGGATAAGAAGGGTGTTATGAAAACCACTCTGTTGTACTAATCTGTTGGTTAAGTAGTTGAATGGAAGGATTCAGAAAAAAATTATTTGCCTGCTAACTGCACAAAAGAAGGTACCAAAGAGACTTATTTTAGGGCCTGTAGTGACGGGACAAGGGGTAACGGGTTTAAATTGAAAGTGGGGAGGTTTAGATTAGATATCAGGAAGAAGTTCTTCCCGCAGAGGGTGGGGAGGCACTGGGACAGGTTGCCCAGAGAAGCTGTGGATGCCCCATCCCTGGAAGGGTCCAAGGCCAGGCTGGATGAGGCTTGGAGCAACCTGGTCTAGTGGAAGGTGTCCCTGCCTGTGGCAGGGGGTTGGAACTGGATGATGTTTAAGGTCCCTTCCCACCCAAACCATTCTATCATTCTATGATTTAAAAAAAAAAAAAGGGCAAATTATATCTCAATACTTTTTTCACAGAGAGATGTTCCCTAGAGGGTCAGCTTTCTTATCAAGAAAGCTAGTGTGTTTTCTGTGCCTTTTTTTGTTTGTTTAAGGAATAAGTTTGTGGTGTGAATGTCTGGTGTTCCAGAGACAATCAGTGACTGTTAACAACTGATTTATATTTTTTCCTTTCATGTGTCCTGATTGTAACTCCAGGATTTGCACAAAATGCTTCAATTACTGTGTTCAGGGTAACAATTCTATATATGCTCCAATTCTGGACAATATATAAGCATTCTCATTTGTAAGATTTCAAAATGTAACTATGTAAGTAAATGCCATTAGATCGAAGGGAAAACTGAAAGAGAGATCACAGCTTGTCTTTTCTCACAGCAATATAAAGCAAATTCATAGCAACTGGTAATGTCTGCACCTCCCTGCTGAAACAGGAATTTGTGCATGTCCTTTAACATCATTGCTGAGAGTTTTACTCCTCCCTGGGCAGCAGCAGTACTTGAGGTGTGGCCTCTTTGCAGGGGTCTTAGGCCGTGGTGGTCTAATTGTGATTTATCTTATTGGAGACCTTATCGCAGCCTTCCAGTACCTGAAGGGGCTACAAGGAAGCTGGGGGGGACTTTTTACAAGGGCCTGTAGTGACAGGACAAGGGGTAACGGGTTTAAATTGAAAGCGGGGAGGTTTAGATTGGATATCAGGAAGAA